TTTTTTTTTTTTTTTTTTGAGTCTCTTCATTATTAAGTATCTTTATGCAGCTGGTGTGTATAAACTATCAAATTTAATCTGTCAGGTGCTCTTCTTTCTTAGGGTTTTTTGCATATATCTGTCCTTGGAAAATAAAGACTTTCATCTTCTTTTGTAGTCCAGAAAAACTGGGAAAAACACAGGTTCTTCAACATACTGAATGTTTGATAAAATATTCTTCTTAGGCCAAAATCATTGGCATTACTGGTGAGCTTGTTAGAAATTCAGAAGCTCAGACTTTATTCCAGATGTTCTAGAAAAAATAATCTCCATTACAAGATCTCCAGTCTATTGTACACATTAAAATTTGATAAGTACCTTCTAACTCAACATGTCTTTTTTATCTCAAAAATACACAGAACTCATTGTCTAGGATGTTAACATCACACTCAAAAACATACAGGCTTAATTTTTTACTTTAATGCTTTTATACTTTTTTATAATTTTATACTTTATTATCCAGAATACATGCCTTAATTTTATACTTTATTTATTTTTATACTTTTTTTATACATGCTTTCGTTTTATACTTTATTATCCAGAAAAGTATCATATATACACTGATGTTGTGGATCTTATTCCACTTTTTTCAGAGTTAGAGAATACATAAGAGAGTATTTCTGTGTTGAAAATTATTTTCAACAAGGCGTGGTGGCTCACGCCTGTAATCCCAGCACTTTGGGAGGCCGCGGTGCATGGATCACCTGAGGTCAGGAGTTCGAGACCAGCCTGACCAATATGGTGAAACCCCGTCTCTACTAAAATTACAAAAATTAGCTGGGCATGGTGGCGGGTGTCTGTAATCCCAGCTACTTGTGAGGCTGAGGCAAGAGAATCGCTTGAACCCAGGAGGCAGAGGTTGCAGTGAGCTGAAATTGCACCATTGCACTCCAGCCTGGGCAACAAGTGCAAGACTCTGTCTTAAAAAAGAAAAAAAAAATTTATCGGATGATTTAGTCATTCCTATAAGTCAGAACCTGTTCTCTTTACTCTCATTTCACCTTTAGTCAAATTAAAAATTCTGCGCTTGGCCACCTGATGTGTGTGTGTATGTGTGTTTTTCAAGGACCATTGACATTCATGGATGTGGTAATAAAATTTTCTCCAGAAGAGTGGCAATTCCTGGACACTGCACAGCAGAATTTATATAGGGATGTGATGTTAGAGAACTACAGAAACCTGGTCTTCCTGGGTGAGAATAACTTCAATACACAATTCTAAGATACTCTAAATTTTTCTTTTTTGTTGTTTTTGTAGAATGTTTTTTGGTAATTGATGCTTTGCATAAATGAGTTTCACATCAGTGTTTTGAAGAAAATCTTGGGAATTTGTCAGTGTAGAAAAGGATTTCTTTAAGATAAACATCTTGAAGTTCACCTTGATCTGAACTTTCCACATTCCTGAGCAGACCTGTATTTTTTATTCTACATTAGTGACAATTTCAAAATTTAGTGACATAAAATATTGTTGCCCACGTCTTAACATGTAATTGTCGACACCAGCTTTTGATTCATTCGTAGTGAGTAGTTAAACTATTATTTATTTATTTATTTATTTATTTATGAGAGGGAGTGTTGCTGTTGCCCAGGCTGGAGTATAATGGCGCGATTTTGGCTCACTTGAACCTCCCGAGTTCAAGAGATTCTTCAGCCTCAGCTTTCTGAGTCACTGGTACTACAGGCTTGTGCCACCAAGCCCAGCTAAGTTTTGTATTTTTAGTAGAGAAGAGGTTTCACCGTGTTGGCCAGGCTGGTCTCGAACTTCTGACCTCAAGTGATCCACCCTCCTCCGCCTCCCAAAGTGCTGGGATTACAGGCATGAGTCACCGTGCCCAGCCCATTTTCTAAATATTTAGAAGTTACTGTTATAAATTCGTGTTTTGGGGTTAATATACTAGAATATTCCATTACGTTCTCTTTACTGAGCACATTATTTGAAGAATATGAGCAACATTCATGTTACTTATTTTTAATAAAACAGGTATTGGTGTCCCTAAGCCAGATTTGATCACCTGTCTGGAGCAAGGAAAAGAGCCCTGGAATATGAAAAGACACAAGATGGTAGCCAAACCCCCAGGTAGGTGAGAGTGAACACAATGGACAACACAGATGAGAGGTCCAAAGGTTAAGGAGAAAACCAGTCCTTAAAATAGATTTTGGGAAGCTGTGTTCCAAAGAAAATAGTTTCAAGAAAATCTATATTTTCATATTTTCAGGGGAACCATAAATATCTGCATAATTTTATAAAACTCTGTGTTAGGCCGGGCAAATGTCTCACGCCAGTAGATCCAGCACTTTGGGAGGCCAAGGCGGGTGGATCACCTGAGGTCAGGAGTTCGAGACCAGCCTGGCCAACATGGTGAAACTCGTTCTCTACTAAAAATGTAAAAATTTCCTGGTCGTGGTGGTGCACGCCTGCTATTCGGTGTAATCCCTGCTATTCGGAAGGCTGAGGCAGGAGAATCACTTGAATTAAGGAAGCAGAGGTTTCAGTGAGCCGGTGTCATGCCATTGCACTTCAGCTTGTGTGAGAAGAGAGAAAGTCCGTCTCAAAGTTAAAAAAAAAAAAACAATAAAAAAACCTATGTTAAACTATTTTTTAAGTTCTCTTGTTTTACCATGTTTAAAATATGTGAGAGTAGTGGTTTCTGTTCCATTTGTTTTTTCATTTTTCTGCATAATTCATCCTGTTTTTATTAGTATAGTCTTGAAATACAGTTTGGGATTGTTAAGTATGACATCCTCCCGGTTCTTTTTTGTCAAGATTGCTTTGGCTATTCAAAGTTTGTTGAAGTTTCATGTAAATTTTAGGATTGTGTTTTACATTACTATATAAAATATACCACTGGAGTTGTTTTTTTTTTGTTTTTTTTTTTGAGATGGAGTTTTGCTCTTGTTGCCCAGGCTGGAGTGCAATGGCACGATCTGGGCTTACTGCTACCTCCGCCTCCTAGGTTCAAGCGATTCTCCTGCCTCCGCCTCCCGAGTAGCTGGGAGTACAGGCATGTGCCACCATGCCCAGCTAATTTTTAGAGACAGGGTTTCACCATGTAGGCCAGGCTAGTCTTGAACTCCTGACATCAGGCGATTTGCCCACCTTGGCCTCCCAAAGTGCTGGGATTACAGGTGTGAGCCACTGTGCTTGTTTTTTTGTTTTTTTTTTTTTAATTGAGATTGAGTTTTGCATTTGTCGCCCAAGCTGGAGTGCAATTGCGCGATCTCGGCTCATTGCAACCTCTGCCTCCTGGGTTCAAGTGATTCTCCTGTCTCAGCTTCCCCACAGCTGGGATTATAGGGAAGAGCCACCACACCCAGCTGTTTTTTGTATTTTTAGAGACAGGGTTTCATTATGTTGGTCAGGCTGGTTTCGAACTCCTGATCTCAGGTGAATCACCTGCCTAGACCTCCCAAAGTACTGGGATTACAGGTGCAAGCCACCACTTCGGGCCAATCACATGTGATTTGCAAATAGTTTTACCAGTTTGCAAATATTTTACCAATTTCCTTTGAAGAGAGACATTGTCACTCTTGAATTTTTTTTTTTTTTTGATATGCAGAAATATTGAAGTATGGTGTGGTTAAATTTCTATTTTCTTTTTTCTGTTGTTCATGCATTTAATGTCATATCTAAGAAAATGGTGCCAAGACCAATTTCATGTCTTTCCCCTATATTTTTTATAAGAGAATTGTTATTTTTTATTTCTAAGTACCATATAAATATATATATACACACACACACCCCTATATATATATACACATATATAAAATTTTCCTTTTTTTTTTTTTTTTTTT